AATGGCCTCAAGAAAGTAAGAGCATATATGCCATTATTTGTCTCTATGAATCTTTATTTAGATGAGAATGTGATCATTTTTCATTCTATAGCTTCAATTTGGCAGGCCTTGTTGATATTTTCAGACTTATTAATATCAACCTTTAAAGTATAAAAATACATAAATCATGGAATTGCATGTCCAAATTTTTGAAAAAATAGTTAAGTACATATTTTGGGCAGGATGTATAATCTGGATATTATAAGCAATTCTTAGTTTATGCCTAAAATTTAATTGAAGCTATTTTTAACAAAGCTTAGATCTCTTTTTAGAACACATCTTTTCCTCAGGTTACCCTTCTTGTCGTCTTGCTCAGCGTGCATAGATTTACATGCTATCTAATTGTGGAATATTCTTAAGCATGTACATAATGTCACGTCTCTTAAGCAGCCATTTTATTTTCTCATGAGAATAAAAGTATTTCCTGCTTTATTAACATGACAGCCTTCAGTCCAGTTCTGTATCTATGTTGACCTGCTATTAGTTTCGTAAGTTTTTGCTAAGGTGATTACGTAAGTGTACATGGAAATTTTATCATTCATTTACTTTTTTTTGTATGTATGTACAGGGAATAAACTATGATACAAATTTGTTACAATTGAATTATAATGAATCCTGAGGAAAAATCCAAACTGTGTTTTGAGAAGGACTGAAAAGCTGGCATTCAAAGGTTTTTCTTTCCTTTTTTCTCTTTTTCTCTCTCCTGTTTGACTCTGTATTATTTCCAGAAACAAATGACATCTATTTGAGATAAAACTACTGCTATAACTTAGACGAGTTCTCATAACGCATAATATATGTAGATAGAGAGATACCATGATTTATTTAGAGTACATGTAAATTTTTTGTAAAAAAAGAATTTCTCATATGAATATTCTATTTATTTCATAACCCTAGTATTAGATGTTAAAACTCAAATCCTGAATAAGTTAAGAGCCTCAGAGTCACAGCACAGCAGAGCAGAGAAGTCTCCAGGTCTCTGATCTTCCAGCCCTGGGCTCCTTCTAATCCATTATTCAGTCTTTCTAGTGACACTTTCTCTGCAGATACTTGAAAGGTATAGCTCTGTTATTAGGCCCATAAGAATGCTTGATCAAACTATTATAATATTTTTATTATGATTTAAATGGGTAATTTGATAGTGCAAAAAGTATATTGGGATCTACCAAACTGAAATGTACCTAACTATTGAGAGAGTTGTAGGTGAATTATTGATTAAAACTGTAAGTCAAGATGACCAAAATCCCAAGTTTAGTCCATGTATGGGGCTTTCGGACTTCTATGCCTATATATGAAGAAGTTCAACCTGACAGCAAGTATCTGCCAGAAGATCTCATGATGCTACTTCATCAGAAAAGAGAAGAATCAATACATTCCAACATAAACAAGTCCAAACTAAAAATAATTCATAAAGCTTTCTGGGGTAATAAGCTAAACTTATCAATAACATCACTGTAGAGGGATGTAAAAACTACTGTGGATGATTTTCTAAAGACATAAAACAGAATAAATTTGAATTTAAATAGTCAACAAAATGTTGTACTTCAAGATACTGAAAAATGCATCATGAGATATCTGTATCTATGAGGCTGAATATAGATCCTACTGCTGATAGCAAAATATATGAAATAACAAATTCCCAAGCAAAATCATACTTAGAGTACAAAAGATTGATTTGTTAGACTAGACTTTAAAGTTAGAAAGCTTTTCTTCTTTGCAAAAGTAAAAATTTATGATATAAATATATAAAACAAATAAAGCAAAAGTTTTTGTCATGACGAACAACATGGAAAATATAAAAGTAAGCATTTCTCATAAATTCATGCATCATATATCTGAAGAACATGTCTTGAAAATAGAAGAAAATAAATTCACTACAAATAAAAAAGTGTTACTTTACACAATAAATAACTTGCAGAGTGGGTAGGGGTTAATAATCTAAGTCAGTTCAATACTTGCGTAAAATCAATAGAGTTCTAATCTACCACGTGATGGGGGAGGCACGCTTACAAACCTTTTCCATAGGTTGCTCAGTCTCATTATTTTCAGTCTAGAACCTTATAATGGATAAAATATGAAATGTCCTGTTGAGGAGTTTGTAGTCATTTAGATCATTAATTAATGTAGTCATCAAATCAGACCAAGCCTTTGCATCTATATTTTCTATATATTTTGTTAAAAGGTTAAAGCATCCCTACTCTGATGTCTTCACTTGCCCCCTCTTCTATCCCCAAACAAAGACCAAGTTTCTCTGCCCTAATAAAAAATCTTGGCAGACAGGATGATAGGACTCTGTGGGTCTTCAGTTGTCATCTACTCTAAATCTTTCAATTTATAGACAAAGACACTGAAAATCATGAGACATAACCATCCGTAATTTAACAGTTTCACAGTGCTAGCATCTGAGTGTATGTATACAAGTCCAGTGTTTCTTCCTCAATAGCCCAATAATATGGGGATGTATGCCCTTACAGTCATGAGTCTAGCAAAGCACTCTGTCTTAGATATGAGGCTTTCACATTCACTAGACTGATAAACAATGTAACTGCTGGGAGAGGACTATTTGATAGATCTCATGCCTTGTTATCTAAGCAAGGTGGTCACTGCATTTTCTTTTATTCTAAATAGGTTTTTTTTTTGTTGTTTGTTTGAGAGGTTTTCACTATAGGGCGCGTGCGCTCGCCAGACAGAGAGAGACATGGAGACAGAAAGCAAGAAATCACCCCCAGGGGGGATGGCCACATCGCAATCCCTTCTCCTCCATTCTCCTCTCTGGATCTTGGGCACGCACGCACACGTGCCCGGTGTGAGTTTTAAGCCACGGGGTCCGGGATGCGAACCACAGTCAACTACGTGGGAGTCCAGCGACATAGCCATTAAGCTAACTGCTGGTTCCCGCATATTCTTTTATTCTAACATATATCTTTTCAACCTAAAAATTCTCAATAAGTTAGCAACCTGAAGTCATGATATATTGAAAAATTTTGCCCTCAGCGGATATATCTCTTTGATGAAATTATAATTCTTAGAATGAAATTTATTCTCTTATTTTATTGGGGTGTGATTTTTTTCTAGACAAGTTTCAGGGAATATTTTGTTATAAATATATGTAGGAAACATCAATGACTGCTATAATTGTACAAGGTATTCAAAGTTTAGAACTTTCTTTTCAGAAACTATTATTTAGAATTTTCTGAAATTATTACACCTATCTATTTTTAAAAAGATATATTTATTAATCTATTTCCATTTGCTATTATTATTTTTTTAATTTGACCAGAGAAAGACAGAGAGCGAGAAAGGGAGAAAGCCAGTTGCCAGGTCTGGGACCTGAACCACAGTCTACTATCTGGGAATTCTGTGCCTTTAACAGCCACACCACCTGCCGACCCCATTACACCTATTTTTATTATTATTATTACCCATTTTCTCCATTAGAATTTAAGCTTCATAAGAGCAAGGACTTTTTGTTTGTTGTATTTTAGCTTTGTGTCACTCTCACCCAGTGCTACAGCTTACTTCATGGAATGTACTTGACACACTGGCACTGACCACGTGAGACTAGAAATACTATATATGTGTGCGACTTATTGGATCTATAATATTTTTCAAAATAGAATATTTTGTATTTCAGTTTGGATATCAGGATTTTTAGACATTGAATATAAATTGCCCATAATGGAAAACTTAACTTCCTAAATTCTTCTGTTAAAATTGTTCCCCTCAAAAAGAATTGTTGCCAAGAATTTTTTTTCTTATAAAGAAAACTCCCCTAAGGAACATATTTCTACTGAGAGATATTTAATTGGAGGCAGGCAGGATAATTTTATCTTTAATATCAACTGCAATGTCATAATTATTTTTATTCCAAAGGACACTTACATATTATTTAAACGTTCCTTCTCATTTAAGCAAGGTCATACTCTATACACTTCACGTTAATGAGAACTTACTCAATTTTAAACGTTCACTTGAGAATGTGCTTTTTAAAAAGTAACGTGTAAAACATCAAATCTTGTGCCTGTGAACTTTTCTTATTGCCAGTACTTAGTATTTGTAATTTTTAAAATTGAAAAGTGGATCTATCTTGGATTCAGACAGGCTGTCTATTTTTCCTGACTTTTCCTCATTTTACAGTCTCACCAGCAGTTTTGAAGTTAACCCAAACTATTCTTCTGAGATTGTGAATCATGAAATTTGTCACATATTTTCCAATTACTAAATGATGAGATGGATATGGTACCAGAGAGAATTAAAATGATGAGCTAAATTGAGAAAATGTCATTTCTCAGGAAACCACAGTAGGATAGAGGAAAGAATAATTGAAACATAAATTTGAATATGGCTACAATAACTGTATGACAGGAAAACAAGGCTTTTACTAGCTTCTTTAAGGCTTTCTACCTTCCAAAGATTTGCTGAAGATCCAAAACAATTTCCTTTCTATGACAAGAACAGAGAGACTGGAAGATATCTTTTCGTTTAATTTTCTGTAATTTTGACTTAGTACAGAAGCAAAGACAAATGTAAATGAATTGATTTTTTTTAAAACATTATAGTTCCTTGATCTATAGAATTATTAATTCCAGTGTAATTTGTATTTATCTTTTAGAAGGCATATCTATTTAAAATTTCAGAAAGATTATATTCGACCAGCAAGACTTTGTGAGCTTTAAAAGTCAAACAAACAAACACCAAAAAATAGCTTGTGGAATACGAAGTCATTAAAATCTAGAATCCTAAACGTAAATGTTATATTTCATTGGTTGTGTTTGGGAGCAGGTCCAGCACTGCTTGCAAAATATTTACTTAGTTTTGGGGAGTGGCTCTTGGAGCTATAGTGGTCAGAACTTATTTTAAACATTCCTAAACCCTAAACATGAATAGATATTCGTTTCTGAGCAACACAAATCCATGGCAGTAACACGTTTTTATGATATTTTCTATAGTAACACATTTACCCAGGACCCATGGTAATATCATCCACTCGACGATGGTTGGTGGTGGACCTTGCCTGTTCAAGTCTGACCTGTCGATGTGCTGAGAGGCAAGCAGCAGCAGGAACAAAAAAGTCAGATAGGATGCTGTGTGGCAGATAAACTTGATAAATGGCTTTCTGATGAACAGTCCAAGGGGGCTTTTGGGAGCTATCAGGTAGCACACAGAGAAGACAGGAAAAAGCAGTCCTATTATGAAACATGTCACCATCTTCACCGCCCAGTGTCTTCTCCTCCAGCCTGGAAACTCATCGTACCAGCGCGATGCCAGCAGCTGTTGACAGTTGGGCTGGGCCACAAACTAAATGGAAAGGAAAGGAAAGGAAAAGCAAACACGAGTCAGTGTGACATTAACGGCCTTGGTTCACTAGTAAGAACCTGAGAAGTTGTTACAGCTAGAAATTCTGTTTCACATACTTTTTTATGCTTTACCAATCAATGTGCTTCAAGTCACTTTATAAATAAAGCTCATCTATTGAACATGTATGATACCCAAGACTCCCCTGCTTAGAGTGACACATGGTCAAAGTCAAAATGCCATGGCTGCACTTGAGGAAGCAAAAATAGAACTGGGGAATAGAAATGAGCATAGGAAATGTTGATAAATGAAAAAGCAATTCACAGGGCCAGCCAGTGATGTGATGGTTAAGGTGTCAGGATTCCACATGGCTGACCCCATCCTTGGAGTCCCTGACTCCTGCAGCTAGAGGAACATGCTGGCTCCTGTCTGTGTGTGCCCAAAATCCCGAAAGGAGGAAGACATGGAAGATAATATTTCAGTATGACCATTCCCCACGGGGGGTGGTACTCTCTGGCAAAATCTAAAAAAAAAAGTGTTTACAAAAACATACACATATACAACTGGTCTTCAGGAAGTCTGTGGAAAATGGATATATTAAAAAAAGTATATATACATGGATTTTCAAATTCTTGCACCAAAATAATCTTGTACTCTAACTCCATTGTTTCACAAACTTTTTGAAAAACAGTATATATGTATATAAGATGTATTATATGTGGTGTGAAATATAAATGTTAATATAGCTCATTTTTTAAAAAAAGATAATTTATTTATTCATTCACTTATTTTAATTTGACCAGAGAGAGAAAGAGAGGGAAAGTGAGAAAGCAAGCCCCCAGGTCCAGGACTCACATTGTGGGAGGGACCAGCACCTTAACCACCATGCTACCCACTGGCCCCAATATGGCTAGTTCTTGAGGAAGCAAAAATAGAGTCATTGGTTTAGTGGTTATTTCTTGGTTATAACATTACATTTGTCTTCATTTTTATATTGGTAAAAATATTTAATATCTTCTATAGCAAACACTTACTACTTCCACCAACAGAAAAAGTACATTTATTTTACTTTTAACCCATTCTCTTTTATTAAAATGTTTTAAAATTTATGTTTAGTCATTGTACATCTTTACAGCACACAATATGGGTCCTGAAAGAATAAATAGTGAATTTATTTTTAATTGGATTCAGGCAATAAGAAAAACATACATGAGAGAATATTAGGATCACTGGAATGTAACTCATCATAGCTGAATCTGGAGGAAACGATGCCTAAATAGAATAAATTAGCATACACAAACGTTTCACAAACATGACATTTTTCCTGGCAACCTGCTGAGATGTAGATAGGTATTACTACATTTTCAAGATGAGGACAGAAGGGGTTGTAAGAGGTCACTAGATTTACTCAAGGTTACATGTCTGATAAACAAGGTGATGTGAGAGTATCTTATCCAAGTTCTTCTTTTCCCTGGGTGCTGCCTTTCTCGTTGGGATTGACAGTTAAGCATGATAGGAATTAAGAAGATGCTTTCTTTTCCACACGGAACGGTCCAGTAACTATTCCCAGTGAGCGTATTTGTATAAGCAGGTAAGAGAGAGACGGTGGCGATCTAAGACAAAGCATGGTGGGAAGGCAGCAGTGTGTACTGCCGAGAAAGTGCACGGTGGTTTTAAGGAATGCTTTACGGGCAGTTTTGATTGAAGTACGAGTTTAAGTTCCTTGGAAGGGCCCTGAGAAAGTTCTAGTGACATCGTAACATGGGGCTACTCTAAGCAAACTATTTGTTTTTGTTCATTTTTTTCCCTCGAAAAAGCTCTCACCCAGTACCACACGTTTTGTCTTCATTTCTTAGCCATGTGGATCTCCTTCAGGCCAGACTTCACTCTTTTCCTTCCTTGGCGGTGAGTCAGCAGTCCTTAGGGGTCGGGTAACTTCCAGACATGGACTCGTCTGTTTTCCCTTCTCCTCTCCATATCTGGCTTCCCTGAGGCCAGTCCCTGAGGGAGAGGGGAGAGCCTATGGTTTCTGCCTCCTCTACTTTATCTTTCTATGCACTGAGTCGCGGGAAATACCATCTTCTGTACCATTGCAGACTGGGGGAAGTAGGGTTTCTATTTAGGCACATTGAATTATAGTCCTTTCTCTCCCTATAGTTGGCCAATTCCAGCACAATTCTTGCCATCATATTAACATTCATATTAAGACATTATGGAGCCAGCAAGTGGCATGGTGGTTAAGGGCACTGGAATCCCATAATGACTGACTGCAGTTCAACTCCCAGACCTGGCAGCTGGCTTTCTCACTTTTTTTTTTCTCTCTCTATCTCTCACATCTGTTCCTCTCTGATCAAACTAAAATAAATAAGTAAATAAACAACTAAAGTTAAAGAAAATAATTCTTTAAAAGACTATTATTCAAATTCTGGGGCCAGCAGGTGGCATGGAGGTTATGACACTGGACTCTCACATAGACAACTCCATAGTTTAAGTCCAGACCTGGTGGCTTAAACATCATGTTGTGTGTGTGTGTGTGTGTGTGTGTGTGTGTGTGTGTATGTGTGTATGCTCAAAATCTGGAGAGGAGAATGGAAGAGAAGAGATTGTGGGATTACCATCCCCTTGGGGCATGATGTCTCACTTTCCCTCACTCTGTCTCACTCTGTTCAGTGAGCGCATGTGCCCTATAGCAACAACAAAAGCATATTAATTCAAATTCATATTTGTACCATGCATTTATCATATTGTGAAAAAAATCTTTTTGAAGAACTTTCTATTCCTCTTTTTCAACAACCTTTAACAAGTTCGGATATCCTGATCCTGTGATTATATATAAACCTATCAAGATGTGGCATTAGGTGTCCTTAGGGCATTAGAACACTGAGGGTTAAGGAGGGCCCCTGGAATCACTTACTTTGTAACACTCACCAAACACTCAAAATAAAAATGGAAACACAAAGTAGCAGGCTGGAGGAGACCTTGGGGCACATATTTTGGCTACACAAAGGATCCTAAACAGGACAGACCAGGAGCTTGGGAAAAAGACCCATCCTGCTTGCCCCCCCCTTGGCACTGGGGTGTTCTGTCTATGGGATGTATGTGTCTTTTTTTTTTTTTTCTCTCAATGAGCCTTCTGTTTATCCTGTTTCTTTGTCCTTTAGTTCTTTCCTGTGACAGAGAAGCACAGACCACACACTTAAAAATGGGCTTCCAAATATTGAAGACATTATGAAAATGTGAACTCTACAGTTTTACAAATAAGAAAGCGAGATTGGTCAGTACCAACAAATTAAGAACACTATTCAAAATACTAATCCCCCCGCCACCGCCAAATGAAGGAAATAAAGAGAAAAAGTAATGAGGAGAAATAGGATGAAGCCAAAAAGAACATAAAAAATAAATAAATAAGTAAACTTCAAAAACCAAAGCCTCACCCACAAAAGTTTTTTACCATTGTATTGTGTGAAATAAACATAGCCACGATAGTTAAGATGACTATATTTATTTGGTATTCCCTTTTATTTATATTTTTGGTTTTTCAATATATTTCTCTAGTTAAAATTTTGGATCCAAAGTTCAGACTGCAGCAGTATTCTGTGTAAGAGTAAAATCTAGATTCTGGGAACAACCATCAAGGTTATTTTGTTCATCTTGATTAGGTTGGGTAGATACATTGGAGTCTCGGTCAAGTGCTTGAATGCTGATGATAAAGAGAGTTGAACATTTTGATAGAACAGCCTTTTAGTGATTTCCTTAAGAGCCATCTGATTCCTTTGGTCTAAGAGGAACACACATTCAGACACATGTCTGTTTCTAGTGGGTCTTACTGTTTATTCCTCAGTAATTCAAAAATAATCTGTATCCTTTGGGATTTTATTTCCTCTGCCCAGGAATGTTTTTCAATAATTCATTTTCCAATTTTGATAGTAGGATTTAAACATCAGCTGTAGGCAAAAGAGCTTCAGGGAATTATGTTGTTCATAGCTGAAAAAAATCCTTTCTTTCTCTGCTTCAGCCTCTAAATCTCTTCACAGCTACTGGTGGCCTTGAACTATATCTGGGTTTCCCCTGTTTTCTAGAAAGAGCTCCGACTGTGTGCTTCATTAAAACAATTCTTCTGTTCTCTTTGAACATAGTCATACCACATGACTAATCAGATCCTCCTACTTTATTAATAAAAACACTATTTTCTCATGGCCCTTTTTAGAGTTAATGAAGTATATGTGAGAGACATTAAGTGGGAGGAGGACTGAGATCTTTAAGAATCAGATAAGTCTGTTTTCTAACAACTCAAAACATTTTAGGTGCCGATGATCTATTAGATAAGTTAATACAGAGCAAAAGGGCTTGTTTAAAAAGAGGGGTAGAATATACGAGAGATTATACCCAACAGAAAATGACCAAAGACATTAAGTAAGGGAATACAAATTGTTAGGCAAGCCTGACATAACTGAATTTTGACAGGCTTGGTCAGAGATGTTTAAAATTAATGGTAAAAATACTGCTTTATTGGAGAAACTTACATCCAAATTACTTTCATGTTTTTAAAAAGTCCTAATGAGTGTCCAAGAAGAACATATATACAGTATCCCCTGGAATCAGGACAAAATGGGATTGATGATGGCCCCAAATGTTGCTTCCTGAAAGAAAAAAAGTGTATTATTTAACCTTTCTTCTTTTGAGGTGAGACAAGTGAACTGTGCACATCATGTCTAAGGTTTTCTTACTTTATACGGAAGAAGAACTGAGATCCTGTTTTTGATGTATATTAAATAGAATACACGGAATCCATCTCTGACCAAGATCAAGAAAACAAAAATAACTCAAGATTTCTCCTGCGATGAAATGCAAACGTCTGTGATCCACCTCTGTGGTTCTCGCACTGCCTGTTGTCCTCCCTCTCCGGAGACGCATTTATGGCACAGGCACCTACGGAGCCATCGACAGTCTTCCCTTCTAGGAATCCAAGGAGGCAAATCCCATTAACTTCAGCATTTCTATTT